CCACCCCCTTCCCCACACACACCATTATTGTTTGTACAGAAAAAAGAAAACCCAAAAACCAAAAGTACAAACCCACAAGGCTGAAGGCCTGTCCTCTCTTCCAATGTCCCCAGCAAACCCACCGCTCTTCACCATCTTCTGCTTCCTCTTCACTCTCTTCCCTGCCTTCCCGGGTTCACCCATACCCGACCCGGCCCCATCCCCAGTCCAGTCGTCATTCCTCCCAACCCGAACTCCATATCCCCCTGCTGCTACAATCCCTGCATTCCCAGAACAATCTGACATAGCCGGGTGCCCGCTCCACCTCCCAAATGAGCTCTTTCACGGCATAAAGTCCGCATGCTCCGCCACAAAAGGCGACTCCTTAGGGAAGCTGCAGCACAGCAGGTGCTGCCCTGTGCTTGCGGCGTGGCTTTATGATGCCTACTCTGCCACCGCCCTCGGCAGAGGCGGCAGAGTGGGCCCAGCAGCGGCGGGTCACAGCAACACCACTTATGACCCGCCATTGCTGCCAGATGACTCAGAAACTTGCGTTCAGGACCTGGGCGAGGCGCTGAAAACCAGAGGAATAGAACTGATCAAGCCAAATGAGACGTGTGATGTGGTGTATTGTTATTGTGGGATAAGATTGCACCCTTTGAGTTGTCCTGAGGCATTTTCAGTGAACCAAAGGGGGAAACTTGTTGGCGATGCGAGCGTGAAGCGGTTAGAGAGAAATTGCTTGAGCAGCAGTGGATTTCCGGGTCTTGGTGGCTGCTCCAAATGCTTAAAAAGCCTCTACCTTGTAAGTAAATCCTTTCTTCTTTCAAATTGCAAAGTTTCTATCTTTGTTTGAATTTTTTTAAAATTATAGTTGTAAGTAAATCCATCACTTTTTATTTATTTATTTTGATTTCCACAAATTGAAGAAGAGGAAGAAGAAGAAGAATCTTATAAAGGGTTTCTTCTAGGTCTTCTTCCAAAGTTCCATGCTTGCTAATTAGGAAAGTGCTTATGCTCATTTTACTTTTTTTGCTAAAACTTGTACCATAACCCTAGACGCGCCATGAGAGCAAGTGTATTACATTTACATGCTAGATATATATAACAAATAGTGAGAGTCGGTACTGTTACTATTAAATGAGCACAACAAGAAATGACTGGTGAAGTGAGTGAGTATACTTATTAATTTCTGGTATGCTGTTGGTTGGGATGGAGATCGGTTAGCTTCTTTTATTCATTTGGAATATTGATGACTCTTGAAGGCTCTAGTTTAATGTGCATCGACAAATATGCGTGCTAGCATGAATTTGATTTGATATTGCACCTACTAGTTAGTGCATTAAACTTCATGCACCAAACCCTTGTTTGCTCAATCAATGAGATGACCATCTCTTTCATTTGCTTCTTCTAAAATTCTAATTGGGAAATTGATGTTATGCAGCTTAACAAGAAGAAGACTTTCAATTCAAGCAAATTAGAGGACAGGACCACCAAAATGCACAACAAAGATTGTCAGCTGATGGGTCTCACATGGCTACTTGCTAAGAATCGAACGGCTTACATCCACACAGTTACATCTGTGTTCCGGGCCATCATGGTAAGCGCCGATGGCTCCGATCCTCAATCGTGCACTCTCAACAGTGATGGAATGCCTCTAGCCGTCGATTCTTCTGAAATATCTGATAGTTCCTCATCCAGAATCCTTGCAGCTTCCATCTCTCTCTGCGTCTTGTCACTTTCTTTGTTGTTTGTGCAGCTTACCCTATGCTCCATCCAAAGTTAGTTCAGGGCTAAGCAGGTTGCTGTTCAAAAATTTATGAACCGTGGTCCATGAGATTTGTGTATTCTTTTGTACTCTGTAACTGTTCTACGTTTTATGACATGACCAATTGCTTGCCCCATGCATTGGATACTTGATGTGCTCTGCTAAAATTGAAAGTTTTTTTTTCTGTGATTCTCTAAAAATAGGGAGGATTTTTGCCCAAAAACATCTCACGTGGCCTCTGCTAACATGTCTCAAAGCGCTGCTGTTTTGTTTTGAAGAGACAAATTATAGGTGCTGCATGTAACTTGTTTGGCGGCATTATTTTGTGACAGTTGTGTTCTTCACGGGAAGTTTATGAAATGTCAACATCTCCTAACAAGGGGCCTTTTATCTTCTATGGTTTGTGTATGCAGGTGGTGCAGCAGCACAAAGGTAAGGATTTGAGCCAGCCAGCAGTATGGAGATTGAGACATTATATTTATAGTATTGCATACAAAACGCCAAAATTCCATTCTCTCCCCTATCATTCTAATTCCCAAAATGAGTTTGGTTAAAAATCAGTAGCATATGTAACCCAACCAAAAAAAAATAAGCATGGGTAGACCCTACCCGAAATTCAGTTTGACGATCAAGTAGATATTACTTGGAACAACCTAGCAAAGTTCTAACATCTAAATAAACTTTAAAAATATATACATACACAAGCGGTATTGAGGGAGGAAACACATGACAACAGTACAATGGTAACGGCTTTTAACCACTTAAGCTACAAGTCCTGACAAGTCCCTTCGTAAATAAACTTGAGCAAACTATTTCACTTGGTTTTGTTATTTTCGTACGATCCATTTACATGGTGGGCTGGGCTTGGCTGGGGGTAAGGTTCCTATGCTTTGAATTCTCACACACGGGCCTGGCACAATTAAGGCCCATTTTAGCTTTAGACATGGCCCAATAAGTGTTATGTCAAGCCTTATATCTTGCGTGCTCGGCCTTGTCTAGTTCCAATGACGACAGTCAAAACCTTGAATTGTTATTCATTTCCAAACCTTAAAAATGAAAATCGATCGTGCATCGCACTACCTCCCTTCTGTTATAGTGGTTTTATAAGATAAGTGTAAAATTCCCACTGGTCAAGTATATTACACTACGTGCCTGACTATTTTGTCAATCAATATTTTATACTTTTGTAATAGAAAATATATTGTATCACATTTATTTGATCGATGTCTAGTGATATTAGGATCGGTGAAGATGACAGGATCCATAAGAACTCAGGAACTAGTGCTAAATAGAGATCGTGTGAATAAACAACTCTAAAGTATCCTTGGGATTGGAAACACCAAAAAATGAAAGAGCAATTACCACTCAAATTCCACCTTGACATTCAAAGGAAGTCACAGTATCTTAAGCAACCCCTCACGATCCCACAACATCAAAGGAGTCGATCCTACCAAATTCATCAACTCCACTTCCATGGAAAAGATCTTAGAAAAGCTCAACCAAATCCTTAAATTTCAATAGCACAGACAACAAAAGGGCAAAGGTGGAGATCTACCAAGATCAAGCAAGATCAGCCCAAAAGGCTGAGAAATGTTAGAAATGTGCCCTAAGAGCCAATACATTTGATGTAATCTCCTTAGAATACATTTCGTATATGATAAATAAAGGGCAATATTATTTTGTTATCTTTTATGTCGTGTAAAGAAACAAAAGTCCAGGGTGTACTAAATAAGAGATAAAGTAATCTAAAGAAGTTTAGATTCGGGAGACCTTTAATCTCTAACTGTAGTATCCCAAAATGTTCCTAATCATAAGGTTATCAAATGGGCATTGATAAACCGTCAAGATTGGCACATACTATGTATGCTCAATGATGAGGATGGTTGGTCTCAAACCATTTGTGTAGTTGACACTAATACAAGCATGGGTTGGCAGCAAAAGGCAACCACATGGGTTGGCAGCAAAGGGCAGTCACATCTGATCACCTTTGAACCCATGTGAAGATGCTTGAGGTGCAGCAAAAGATGAAGGATGGTGTGGGAGTTCATCATGATGTTCCTCCCTCTTAGCTCTATAAATAGAGGAGTCTTCAAGCTACAAAATTCACTTCAGCCATCCTCCATACTTCCATCATCCAGAAATCATCCTCATACATTCTCACAACCCCAAACACTCAAGCAATCAACCCAATACTCTAAACTGTCCCAAAATCACCAAAACAGCTCCAGAAAACCTCCCTTCCATTTCCCTACGAATTTCCTCTTTCTCAGCCATCACCACTCACTCAAGCTCATCTCAAATCACCTCCATATCCTTCATACATCCTTCTAGATGTGGAGAAGCTCTTGGAGAAGCATTGGACACTACAAGAACTTCAGAAAAGGGTTTTTCTACTCTTATGGCATTCATTATGTTTTCCCATTTTTGTTTTAGTTTCTTTTCCATTATGAGTAGCTAAATCCATAACTAGGGCTTCGATGTAACCTAACATGAATATTCTGGGTTTATAAGTTTGGAGTTTCAAGTTTGATTCATGATTCATGTTCTTATTCATTATGCTTATAAGTTAATATGCTAGTTTGAATGATTGATCACCATTTAGGCTTGCATGTTAGCTATCTTGGTTTGAATTAAGAGTATACACCATGCTTTAATTCGAATTGAACTATGAATAGGAAGAGTATGTATGGACATTCGACAACAGGGATTAGATACATGCTTGGTTGTTTAAATTGTTCTTCTATGCTTAATGGGTTCCTAATGCTTAATTTTAGGTTAGACAACAAATGATCAAATTAGGGAATTAGGAACACAAGGTTATGACCACACACCATGGCTTAATCATACTTTAGCTAGAATCAATCCATTAATCTAAATTGAACTTGGGAACTTATTTGCTTCAGTTACTTATTTCTTTCTTCCTTGTTTTATGTTCTTTGTTTTTGTTTCTATTTTGTGTAGGGAAACTAAATTGGATCATTCAATCACCAATCCTCGTGGGATCGACCTCGCACTTACATACGCTATACTACCGAACGGCTCGTGCACTTGCGAGTATCACAAGTTGAGGATGCAACTGAATCCATTTTGGTGCAGCTGTTGTTAGAAATGTGCCCTAAGAGCCATTACATTTGATGTAATCTCCTTAGAATACATTTCGTATATGATGAATAAAGGGCAATATTATTTTGTTATCTTTTATGTCGTGTAAAGAAACAAAAGTCCATGGTGTACTAAATAAGAGATAAAGTAATCTAAAGAAGTTTAGATTCGGGAGACCTTTAATCTCTAACTGTAGTATCTCAAAATGTTCCTAATCATAAGGTTATCAAATGGGCATTGATAAACCGTCAAGATTGGCACATACTATGTATGCTCAATGATGAGGATGGTTGGTCTCAAACCATTTGTGTAGTTGACATTAATACAAGTATGTGGGTGCTCATTAGTGAATGAGTACACTGAACGCGATCAACCGCAGTTCTCTTATGGAGTATTTATCTATATGTCAAACGAGAACTTATAGTTGCAATAATGCAAATTAGTCCTTATACCTGAGGCATCATGGTTGTCTTGTGATGCGTTATTGATCTTTGATAGCTCACAAAGGCGAGTCGTAAAAGATTTTCCTTATGTGTTATTGAGATCTCTTAATTCATCATGGAGATATGTGAATGTACAATAAGGAATCTCTACCTTTGATAAGAAAAGGAGAATGTTTCAAGATATGATTCAGTGAATCTTTGGCCGAAGTACTTGAACATGATTTAGAAAGTGGTTTTTTAATTGTGTTCTATTGAATCATATGAGTTTAATCATATTAGGGGTTTGACATTATCAATCCGTACCCTAATAATATGATTGGAAACATTGTATAAGAGAAGGACCGTATTGCATTGCAATTCCAACTGAATAGGTTCTTCATCTATTCTAATTAGCTTGGGTAGTCATGATATATTGCTAGATGTCACTCTTGGCTTGTGGAAGTCCTAGGACTGATTGTGATCAATCCAAAATAAAGGAAGAATTAAAAAGGGGTTTTAATTCCAGTTGGTTAGAAAGAGTTCTAATGTTTTCCCACTGCCTTGCTAAATTAGAACCTAATGGATCGCACACCTTAAATGGTTAACTTTGAGTAATACAAATGAGAATGAGGAAATCAATTTGATTGATTTGATGTGGATGATTTACTACGTGTAAAAATGTATTTGGGCCTCGGTAATAGTTAATGAGAAGCCCAAATGATTGGGTATCAAGCCCATGGACTTAAGACACCTAAATTATGGCTTAAGTGTCATAAGGCCCAATTTTGGAAGCCCAATGGGGTTTGGCCGAAAATGCTTAAGTAAAGGTGTATGGGAATTGTTTCCATAAGCTCATTTACACACAAACACAATCCAACATCAACCAAATAGGTTTGGGAGATCAAAGAGAGACAATTGTGAGTTTTCAAGAGTGAAACACAATCATCTTTCAAAGGGGTTTAGATTGAAACCAATCTTGAGGATCTTGCACTAGCATCCTTGTATTCTCAAGATACTTCTTCTCATCTCAAGGTTCCATTGGTGTGGAGACTTAGAGACCATATACTTTTGTGGCTCACAAGGAGGAGAAAGATCAAGAGGAGATCAACAAAGGGAAATCATCAAGAGAAGACCAAAACACAACTTGGTTCATATAATTGCTTCAAGGGTAATTATATCTTATCCTTTCTCTTGAATTTTCATTTATGAAATACATATCAATGTTCATGGCTTAAGATACTTGGAAGAAGTTTTGTTTTGAATTTAAACAACCACCATATTCTTCCGCTGCAATTAATTTGATTAATTTGTATGTTTAATGTTCAAATCAACTTCTTAAAAATGTTTTAAAACCAACAAAAAACAGCCCCTAAAAGCCTAGGGGGTAGACAAAAGCTTGCCAAAAGGCAAGGAAACAAAATCCCAGCAAAAAACTGGGGGAAAAACTCTCCACAACATAATGGGAGGGAGAGAAGCCTGATTTAGTAGCCGAAAGAAAATGAATCCAACGGAAACCCCCTAAATTCAAAAAAGTTTGCAGTAGCTTTAGGAAAGTTTTTGGGTTGAAGGAGGAAGAAGTTTCAAGAAAAAGAGAGTTTTTTTTTTAATTTGAGATTTCGGTGCATGAAATGCTCTTAACCACTTAAATTACAAGGCTATAAAATTGACAGTGCAAATTAACGGTGCTACAAAATCTAGAACTTGAGGGTTTACAATAAAAAAAAAGTTTGTAGTCGAAGGCATATTTTCACCCTGGCTGATTTGGCCTGCCTGCCTAAATTAGACCGAAGCCCTTGTCTATGTCAATATGCCACTGCCTGACATGCTCCTATTGGTATGTCAGAATCTGTTGGGCCCTGTTGTCAGAAGAACTGGGGGCCCATTATCTACTTTTCCAGTATTAAGCTCACACCATTGTCTTTCAAACTGCCCCATTATATTCTAAAACATTTTTGTGGAAAATCTTTCAGGTCATTGCTGACGGGAAATTTTCATTACCTATTTCAGCGACCTTACAGAATATACAAAAGACAAAAACACACCCAGTTGGAGTGACAAAGAAGGCTGTGCTGTGGTGCAGCGCGGCTCACATTTACAATCTGTACCCTTCTCAAAAACCCACTGATTTTTCCCGTGGGCTCCATAAGAGCTGTTTGTCCTGACCTGAGTTCATGCTTATCTTGAGGTTGCATGATGGGGGGGGGGGCTAATACATGTGTACGGTGGTGGGTTGTAACGGACGGTGATGATTCGGCCATCTGGATGGTCTGAAACAAGGAAATAGTGGTTTCACATCTAGAGTGGCTGTACACGTGTTGCTCTCTGCTTCACGATGCTTTTTGATGGCCTATGCATGTACCATAGTATACACATACTCCAAGAGGGCCCATTTCACTTTTACTCTCCTATATAAACCCTACCCCTCCTCTGCCCTCTGCGCACCACAGCAAGTCTTGCTTAGCGCTCTTAGCTTCTTCTTCCTCTTTACTCTCTCTTCCTTCCCTCCTCATGGCTGCCTCCGTTGATCCTCTCGTTGTTGGGCGAGTGATCGGAGATGTGGTGGACATGTTTGTCCCAACTGTGAACATGTCTGTCTACTTTGGGTCCAAGCATGTCACCAATGGCTGCGATATCAAACCTTCCATGGCCATCAACCCCCCCAAGATCACAGTCTCTGGTCAGCCCGGCGAGCTCTACACTCTGGTCTCTCATCTCTTTAACCCTTTGTGTTTCTGTTCGTATGTGATTAATTGAATATATGTATGTGGCTGCGAGAGCCGTTAGATCAATTTGATCCTTTTGCATGCATGACATGAGAGAGAGAGAGAGAGTTTTTATATGTTCAATTTCTATATGTCTTAAAACACCTTTGTTGTTTGTTCATGCAGGTGATGACTGACCCTGATGCTCCGAGCCCGAGTGAGCCGAGCATGAGGGAGTGGGTCCATTGGTCAGCTTTCTTCTTCTCTTTGCATGGATTATGTTTTGCTTAATTTTCACTGATCTCACTACTTTTCCTTCCATCTCCTTAATGGCGTTGTCAAAAACTTGATGCACATTATTGTTTGTGGTTTCAGGATCGTGGCTGATATCCCTGCAGGAACAAGCCCTGTTAGAGGTAAAATCTTTACTTTGTTGTTGCAGCTTTGCATGCACGCTGTAACAAGGCTTCTTCATATAATCCCCATAAACAAACTTTAATATTACATAAAACAAGTTTTTAGTCATGATTAAACCCGTTTGTGCTGAAAAGTCGTGCAGAGGTATTATTCCATTCTTCACAGTCGACACAGTCGTCAAAGAAAGAATCTCTGGCGAAAGGCTCATTTCCAGGCAAAATCAGAAACATGCATGTCTTCGGCTTCGAACGTTTTCAGATTGTTTCATAAAATCCATCAAAATGTTCAGGGTTACATCACATCATTGGATGTCCCCTCCATATTCTCGAAAAACATGCATCTACTCCTATACCTCTAGAGCATCTGTCACTAATAGCCGCAAAATTGCCCAAATTTGATATTACAATTTTGCGTAACCACGTGTCCTGCAGCAGCAATCCCCCTTTCCAATTTCTCTACCTTATTATATTTACTTCAAAATTAGTATTTTAATTTTAATTAAAATCGTTTTCCTTCATTCAAAAATAAATATCGAATAAATTAGTTTAAAATTTCTTCCTAAATGGTGTTGTTGTCCTTGAATAGCAAAGACGACACGTGGTTAATCCCAGGAACACGTACCCAATTACTGACACGTATGTGCCACTTGTCAAGGTTACCTTGTCGAAGTGGTAGTAACCGCTTACCACGTCGGTTACACGTGGCACGATGTCTGTGTTTCTGGGCAGTGCAATTAGAAGCACACGAATAAGGACTTCAACGCCAACTTCTTCAAGTTTGAGCTATTTTGGGTGAATAATGAATACATAGCAACAAGAATAAATAATATTAATTGGAGCTCGATACTAATTATTAATTTATTGTTGCAGGGAAAGAGATACTGGCTTACGTGGGTCCGAGGCCACCAGTGGGAATTCACCGCTACATTCTGGTGCTGTTTCAGCAGAAGGGTCCGATGGGGCTGGTGGAGCAGCCATCCTCTCGTGCGCACTTCAACACTCGGTTTTTCTCTGCGCAGCTCGACCTTGGACTGCCTGTTTCCACCGTCTACTTCAACTCCCAGAAGGAACCAGCAAACAGGAGGCGCTGATCAGCTAGCTCAGCGTTAATTTCCATATAATCAATCATATCATACAACTGGAGATATCAAGTGGTGATGATGTGTGAAGTGATGGTGAATCAAGGAAAAAGAAGTTCATGAGATATCATTAGTGCAAGAATTTAATGAATAAATGAGGATGAGAGTGTACCCTGTTAATGTGTCTTTAATTAAGTTTTTATTATAGATTAAGAATGTTAATTATGTGTAGCCAGCTAGGGTGGGTGTTTCTCACTCTTAATTATAAAGTCTCTCTCTCCTATTTTAATTTGCCTTTAATTTCAATAGAAATAAATAAAGCCCTTCTCTTTTTAGTTTCAATATGTCGAATATGGTTGATATATGCTTGCTTAAACTACAATATTTTGCTTCTAACTAGCGACCAACATGAACAAAATCGACATATATAATTAACAGATAGACATGAACCATAAACCAACAAGATAAAAGGAAAAAGAAAGGAAGTACAAATTGGCAACAGTGGAAGTACTTAGCTCTGAAACTATCTATATCAGACTGCACTACACACGGACCAGTAAGTGAAAGAAAGGTAAAGCCTGGCGATGTTTTCAAGGAAAATTGAATTTATAATCTTTAGAATTACTTAGCTATTGTCTTCTCAAGTGAAAGAGAGCTAACTAAAGGTCAAGAGAGACAGGTCATAAGACATAATGACTTGATACGAATTTCATGGTAAAGATTAGCGCAACGTCTATTTGAGAGCCGAATTTGATGGTAAAGATAAGCGCAACGTCTATTTAAGACAAATGGAAGATTTAGTGCATGATAGACGCTTGTCAAAAAGGCCAAAAGTCACTTTTGGTCCCTGTAATTTGGCACTTCAACCACTTTTGACCCTGTAGTTTCAATTTCGTCACTTTTATCCTTGTAGTTTCATATTTGGAGCAATTCAAGGACAATATTAAATTTCTGTCAATTTCTTTAACAGAACAACCACATGCCTCTCACATGGAGGGGCAATATTGTCAGACCAAAACCCCACACTAAAAGCTGGTCTCTACCCCTTCCCCATGGCACGAAAATGGACAACCAAAATCTTAAAATCCTCCCTCCGTCACTATCCCAAATTCCCAGCACCTAACCAATCTCTATTTCCTCCATCCCTTTCTCTTTCCCTCCATCCCTTTCGCTTACACTTGCAGCAAAAAAAGCATGTCTGATAACAAGCTTTTAGTTAATGGTTATTCTTTCATTTTCCCTTGAAAAGGTAAAAGTATATATGGGAGAAGGATGGTATTATGATTTCAAGCACACACACTTTGATGCATATTCGCCCCCATATTTTTATGCAAGGGTAAGTTGAAGACTACAACATCATTTTAATTCACGTGGCTACCTTTTCTCTGATTTGACTTTTGATATGAATGCCCTTGTTCATGTTTTTTCTTTTGGGGTAAATTAGAATTATTACAGAAAAAAGAAAAAAAGGAAGAACCCTGAGAAAAAGGAAAATACGGCGGAATCAGCCAAAAGAAGATGCCTTAAACCACAGAAAACAAGCTACCCAGCAACAGCACCAGGCCAATACAAACTAACCCACTGATGCCTTCATTTATGTTGTCATACTTGGGAACTTGATCGTTTGTGCACTTTGTTGTTCTTTGTAGGGAGAGAGAAAGGGATGGAGGAGATAGAGATTGGTTAGGTAGGTGCTGGGAATTTGGGATAGTGAAGGAGGGAGGATTTTAAGATTTTGGTTGTCCATTTTCGTGCCATGGGGAAGGGGTAGAGACCAGCTTTTAGTGTGGGGTTTTGGTCTGACAATATTGCCCCTCCATGTGAGAGGCATGTGGTTGCTCCGTTAAATAAATTGATAGAAATTTAATATTGTCCTTGAATTGCTCCAAATATGAAACTACAAGGTTAAAAGTGACGAAATTAAAACTACATGGTCAAAAGTGGTTGAAGTGCCAAACTACAGGGACCAGTTGGTCCAAGTGGAAGGGGCTTGGATCCTTTAAACAAGAGGTCCTGGGTTCGATCCCAGGCGCTTGCGAATAGAGCAGACTTTGTTGGGAGAGGTCCCCGCTTTGCGCCCGACAGTACCTCGAGGGTTAGTCCCCGCAATCGCGCGGGGGATACCTTGGTTTTCACCAAAAAAAGTGACTTTTAGCCTGTCAAAAATGAAGGGATGTTGCTAAATGTCTATTTGAGTCAAATAGAAGATTTAGTGCATGATGGACGCTTGTCAAAAACTAAGTGATGTTGCTAAATGTTTTTATTTTTGAGTGTACTTTTAATGTTCACGAGGCAAACGGAGCCTAGTTTATCATCGTATGAGTCCAGGGTTAACATGTTCTCAAATGTAAGAAATTACTATATAAGTCGAGAGACGTTTCGTAGTTGATAATGGTTTGATTTAAATTTGACAATAAATATAGACATAACGTCTGTTTAAGTCATAACGAATTGTCCATGGATAACAAACACATATTAAGAAAGGAAGTGATATTCATATTTCAAGAGAGTAGAGTTTGTAAGGTGTCTTTATTTTCAATATCATTTCATGTTTAGGAGAAGTTGGTTGGTTAACTTATGCTTATGGTACTCAGAGGCGGATCCACCATGGGGTCAATGGGGTCAGACGACCCCATGGCAGATCTGGACTTTAGTGTTAGGGACTGGTTTTTGCCCTCGGAAGCCATGGAAATGACCCCATGGAGAAGAAGAAGCTTCGGTGGCTGGGGTTCTTTTCTGTTTTTTATTTATTTAAAAAACTGCTTTGCAAAACGACGTCGTTTTGGGCAATGCAATTTTTTTTAAATGACCTAGCCAAAACGACGTCGTTTTGGTCTAGGACTTAAAAAAATAAAAAATAAAAAAACGGGTTGCAGCTTCTTAACAGCACACAGACCCGAAAACTCCAAATTTTCATATTTATCCTCCCTAACCCCAATCTCCCCAAGACCTCTACCACCATCTCCTCCCTTGCCACCGCCGCCAAGGGTGCTAGCTGCCGTTCACCACCAGCCGTTCCCGTTGCCGCCACTATTTTTGTGAAAGTTTACAATTCAATTCAACTAAGTTCTAATTTCTAAACCCTAAGCCTAAATTAATGTTGAAGTATGATATATTTAATTAAATTGAAATCAAATTCGTAATTATTTAGATGAAATTGATGGTTTGAACTTTGATTATAGGTTATAGATTTATTAGGTAGTTTACACTATGACCCCATGAGTGGTCATTCCTGCATCCGCCACTGATGGTACTTGTGTTCTATTTTGAAATACTTCTCCCAACACATATTGTACTTGATTTGAATTTCATATTAACTATTTTGGCATAAGGTCTACTTCATCTTTATGTTTACAAATTACAAGGAATCTATGTTAACTATACACTAGTATTCATTAAGAAAAACAAAAATAATCAATCGGTTTTTCTTGTGTCCTTCCTCGCCCAATTGTTCTCAACTCAATATCAATCGGTTTGATGTCTGCTGCCTGGGGTGGGGGCACCACTTATCAGGCTTGGGCCATTCTGGGCCTGTTCCTTATCTGTATCGTATTGATCAATGATTTGCATCAAATTCTTCGGGTTGGCCCAATCGTTCCAAGCCCTGGGTTTAAGGTTAACAAAAGAGACAGAGACTGGAAATTTTTGTGTGTTTTTCTTTTCAAAAGTATATAAGCAGTGCAACCATATATCATATATCACTAGCTAGCTGTTTCATGAGAGAGAGAGAGAGAGAGAGAGAGAGAGAGAGAGAGAGAGAGAGAGAGAGAGAGAGAGATGACATACCAGATGGGGTTAACGTTGGAGAAAACGAAGGAATGAGGAGGTTGATGTCCATACAAAGCCCCCATCAAGCAAACAGTTCTTACTAATACCTCAACTTTGTTGCCTGTTTGACCTTGATCTCAGCTTATTATTAGCTTATTACCACTAAATAATTACTTTCCGATTTATGACCTACAACTGCTTGAGATCTCTACTTACTCAATCGGTGTTATAAAATGCAGAGGATTAAACTTGATTTCGATCTATCGGACCGGCGGCTATACATTTATATATGTTTGTTTTCGTGAGTGTGTGTGGACAGGGAAAGGGTGCAGTGCAGATTCAGAATGAATGATTATGCATATAAATAATAAAAATGAAGTTGAAGTTCAAGGTCGAACAGACAACGAGATAAAGATATAACCTGAAAGAGAACTGTTCACTTGACGAGGTTTAGCATGGAAATCACTCACCGATTGATATCGACATACGATGATATGATATATAGCTAGAAAGCTATCAGACTAATTATGGAAACTAATTAAAGCAGAAGATTATGGAGTGGGATCAAGGAGAGGAAGACTCTTGTACTGTGGGATTCAATTGCTTTATATATACAGCAATTGCTACTCAAAGAGATCACACCATGCGCGCATGTATAGATGTAGCTAGCAAATGAAGTTACCTTACCTATCTATCAGGCATTGACCTTCAGATGCATGTGTATATGTTTGTGTCCATGCGTGAGAGTGAGAGAGAGAGATGAAGCAAGCAAATTAAGCAAAAAGCTAGGGATTGAGGGTAGATGGGATTCCATTCCATGCAGCATGTTGGTTAGTTAGTTAGTTAAGGACACATTAATTCCTAACACATAACACACTGAGAGAGAGAGAGAGAGAGAGAGAGAGAGAGACTGTATTAATTTGTTATGGTTAGTTAGATGGCAAAAGTTTAATATCATCTCCCACTCCTACCTACCTACCCTCCTTCACCACCATCATCACCAATATTAACTAAATGATAATTAATTCAAGTTTCAACCCTCCCACCCCCACATCTTTTTATTCAAATGTTGCTCTTCAATCATCATAAAAGATATATCTATATACAGTGTACTTAATTCAATGGACATGGTCTCAAGTCAAGATTGAAAATGATGGATGGTTCACGATCACGAGTCATGACAAAAAAAATCATCATGAAATGCGCATAGACTCAACGACTGAATTCTGTGACAATAACCAGGAAGAGTTTCCAAGCAGCAGGAAGAAGATAAAGAAGATATAGGAGGGCTAATTAATGCTGATGCAGAGTGACAAGATCGGAATTCTTTCCAAGATTAGAGTACAATTAATATTGTCCATTTCATGAAATTTAAGTAATGAAGTTAATTAACGAGTAAAAAAGGCTATGTATCTTCCAATTAATGTCTGCCCTACGATTATTTATTTGTGAGAGATTATGTGATTTTTCTATCAAGCCCATCGTTTTGTAGGTCGGTCCTACTCGTATGATTAGGCTTTTCATTAACGTGGTTAGTCCGTGATAACACTACCCTTTTTGTTTTGTTAAGAAATTGAATTTAATCTTTGTTAATACTTGATATACTTAATTACTTGTTAGAAACTAGTACCCTAGCTACCACCTACGCTACGTACCATGCATCTTCAATACTGGAATTACTTGTTTATTACTTGCTTAGTTGTCATATTTCAAATCGAGTCAGATTATAACTTAAATATGTATGTTGGGTCAAACTTCAAATAACCTAAAAACTAAGATCCAACTTTGGTCGTCATTTGTTCTTCGAGGGCAACAATTTGGATAAGGTACATTTTTTATGTAGCTCCTCCTATCAGTAAATTATTAGGGCAACTATACATTAGTACGGTAGAAAAAAGAGCAATGAGATTGTGAGACTAGGCTGCAAGTAACAAGCAAGGGCAAGGCAAGGGGAATGAATCACTAGTGTAGAAAACAGAGCACTAGGAAAAAGGAAAAAGGCCTATGACTTCTGGTCCCATATCCGCTTTAACAAAATATAAATAACACATTATGCCGCACAGTGGTGGAATCTCATATGGCCTAGTTCAGATGGGCTTTTACTAGTTTCACTGTCGATCAAATATGGTCCATTTTTGTAATCAAGGTCTACGGCTTAAAGCTTAGCCTGTGAGATATACTCAAATGCGATTCGTTGGCCCATATAATTGGTTTTCTTCTTCTTCTTTTTCTTTAGAAATAATGATAAAGTAACCAAATGTATTAAGAAACTAGAAGGCTGATGAAGCCTCAGAGACAACCAGAAGGAACAAGTTAACAGCAAGAAAAAAAAAAAAAAAAAAACATGGAACCGAATCAAATGAAGTAATAAGAAATTAGATTGAGAGTTCGTATACCGTACATTCTTAAGAAGAAAATAGGTAAAATAGGTCAGATAGAGAATATATACATATAATTTAAAGGTAGATAGAAGTATTGATATGATAGGCAAAATGAAAATATTACTAAGTTTAAATGTTGACCTAATTGTGTGGTTATTAATGTATAGGCTTCTAGATAGATAGTAATTCATGTTGAATGGTAGATAGAACTACTACGAACTCATGCACCTCTCTATCTCTGCATACGTACACATATAAACGGCAAACTGAGTCTGAATCACATGCATGCAAGTTGCAAGTCGCAACAACTACCAATGCGTGATTTATAATGAACTGATTTCTCGACTTAATTATAATTCTTGGTGACACTTTTCTCAGTGTTTAGTACTTAAGTAATTATAATATAATGGTGTTACAGAGCTTGCAGGTAATATTGGAAACTGAAATCAGCTGCTGCAGTCATTGTCGAAATGAGTGCAGTCGATCAGACTCAAAACTTTGATGTGTCCCTTAACCCCTTAAAGCATCTTTCATTAATTTAATTAGCCCACCACCACCACAGGAGCCCTAGCTATCTAGTCGTCCACGCTTTTGCGTACAATCTCTTTGTCTTGTTCTCCATTGTCAACGAAGATCACCGACCCCCTTGACAGAAATCACAGCAATTTATTCCAAATTAACCTCTGTGACTGTGATATCTTATTCAAAATTGGGTATTTTCTTTCTATAGGAAGGAAACTTCTCCTTATTGTGTCAATTTTTCATTTTCCTCCTCCGGTGCATGAATAAATATTTTAGTAATTTTTCTCATTTAAGGTCAGAACAACATGTATAGCAGTGGAATTGAGGTCAGAAAAACATAGCATCCATGTATGTAATCAGATTACTAAATTTGACTTGGAATGGTGGTTTATAATTGGGTTGGTCTATGCATGTGGGTGTGGGCGAAACAAGACTTGTTCGCACAGGCAAAATTAAATTCCAGTCGTCCGAACGTTGTGTAAGATATATGAATTTAAAACCACCTTATCCATATTTTGTACTTTAAAACCACAACCGCTTCTTATCTACATACACATTTTGTATTTTTCTTACTATACATGGCTAGATACGATTACTGGGAGAGTAAGAATTTGAATCTGATATAGAATTTGTATTTTTCTTCAGATATATAGAATCTTAACTTAGATTTCCATCACACACACTCTCTCTCTCTCTCTCTCTCTCTCTCTCTCTCCCCTTATCAGTTTCGCATCATAAATTAACTCCAAAGGAGGAACATTCTGGTCCATATATTGCTGTACTTTCTTCCAATCTACTTGCTACCTGAAGTGTATAACAAGAGAAAGACTTGGTTTTTCTCTCATGAATAAATTATATAAAATCCCTTTTACATATGATGAATGAATTAATATCTACCTTACCTTCAATACACTCTTTTATCAAAATGCACATTAATTTTATACGATTAGAAGATTAAAATTCAAAGCTTTTACTGCACAAGATCTCCAAATAATTAGGGAAAAATTAAGAAGAAAAACATTAGCATAAACGCACCCAACTAATTATCACATTCTTTTTCTCCAGTCTCCATTTACATAAACTAACTAATTCAAACCCAAAATTCTAGTTTAGGGTTCATACTAGCATAACGAAGCTATCTAAATTTGTCTCTAGCTCTCAGCTATGACAATATTCTTTCCCAGCAATACGTGGCAGGAAATAATAAAATCATAACCAAGCCTTGTACAAAATGTTTGAAGGATTAGTACTAATATCAATATCCCAATGAAATTGGAAGGCCTATTGTGAGATCAAGATTGAGGTCAGGCAAAGCACTGCAGCTTGTGTTGCTTTCGGGTTCACTTGTAGAATCTAACAATGGATCATCAGAAGAGTGAGAATTTACACTTGGCTGATCATTTGTATTAATCCTGGAGCCAAATGATTTAGTATGGCCAAAATTGTGCCCTATCCGATGGTTATTTGGGTCAACTCCCATCTGTATTAGTTTTCTCCTTAGATGAGTGTTCCAGTAATTCTTCACTTCATTGTCAGTCCGTCCGGGCAATCTTCCAGCAATTAATGACCACCTATAATTAGTACTTATTAATTAGTCATAAATTAAGCAAGTTAATTAGGTATTATTTATGCAAACAGAAACAGGGGCGCATGCATTACGAATTTGGTTCCTTAATATGTCATTCAGATTCTAGCAAATGCATAAGTTCCAAATTATTCTCCTTTTATATATGTTTGCTCCCGGAATTTTCAGAAAAGCTACTATATATGGTATACCAAAGATGCCCTGCGCGCAGTACCTGTTTCCAAGAAGTGCATGGAGCTTTATGATAAGGTCCTCTTCATCCTCACCAAAGTTGCCACGTTTCAAGTCTGGCCTTAGATAATTTACCCATCTGAGTCTGCAACTCTTTCCACACCGATGCAAGCCTGCACCATTAATTAATTTTAAAACAAATTTTATTAAGAGCTTATAATAACTAATGTAATGTATATGTTTTTCAAGCAATAACAAGTGCAAAATTAGAGTGAGTTTTTATTTGTAATTATATATATATACCTGCAGCCAGTGGTAGGGAGCGCCAGCTACCTTCCCCGTGTTTTTGAATATATTGAGTGAGCTTCTCATCTTCTTGCTTGGACCATGCTCCTTTGTTCGTCTTTTTCTTCTCACAGCAAGGTTTCCTCATTCTTCTTTCTGATATTCAACTTCTTCTTCTAACAGCAAGAGAGAGAGAGAGAGAGGGCAGCTCAAGGTGCCCAAGTGAGGGGTAGAGCAATATAACAGAAATTTTCCAACTGCGCTTGACTTACAGTTGTGAAATTACTGCATGTCATCTGTCGAGGGTTTGGTTTGGTTTGGTTTGTCCGGTACTATGCCAACCTTAATTTCTACTATGTATACAATGGTTAAGTAAGATTCTGTGGACAGCCAGCCAGCTACTTCAAAATGTAAAAACCTTTATGCTTTCCCCATGCAATACCCCCAGTTTTGAGTAGCCATTAATGGTACATGGGAGACCGAATCAAGAAAATGTGTTGGACACACACTTCCAAATGTCAAAAAGGGCCTTCATGTCAATTTTCAAAAAATTGAGGGCTTAAATGCAGTTGCATTGACCTAAAAAAAATTTTAAAAAATAAAATCTAGTTGCATTATTAATTAGTTCAATTGGAAAATAAAACCAAATATAGAGCATTCTTACTCGCCACTTTCACCCACGGTGTACAATTACCACTTTTCTCAACATTTGATATGTGTCAATGAGCATAACATGTTTCCACAAATACAAAGTAAAGAGTTAACTATGATTAGGCTCATAGACATGTATCAAGCGTTGAGAAGGGTGATGATAGTACATATTGAGTTGAAGTGGCGAGCGAAAATATTTCCAACCATATATAATATCTCTCTTCTTTTCTTCTCTGACAAAAACCAAAAAAGTGTTAAACGCACAAATGCTAGTAATAGATTGTTGCCATAGGATTTTTTCTAATTTTCTTTAAAATTTAGTAATAATAGTCAGCATTTGGGTTAGTTAAGGGTTAAGGATAATGAACTCAAACCGTATTATACGTATATTCTTTGCGTATATAGATAGTTATTCAGTTATTGATTTGATATGCATATTCCATGAATATAAATTTAGGGTGGATTCAATTCAAATATAGAATCCTGACAAAGTCTCACGCTCACTGAGTCACTGGTGAGCGTACGTGCAAGTTGAATGGTAGATTCGCAGGTGAGGTTTTGAGGAATTTTTGACAGGACACATGTCTTCCTTTTCTTGTGAGATTGCCAAGAGTACTATTTCATTTATACCATTTATAGCAACACGGAAGGAATTGGACTACCATTTCGAAAAGGTCAACGTAAAAATCCTAAGGGAGGAGAAGGACCCCATATACATGTGTGCTCAAGATTTTCATCACTGAGATTCAAAAGAGTTGTCGATTTCGAATGCCAATGAAAATTGAATTCCTCATTGTCGTTACTCAAGAGATAAAATGATAAAATGTCTAGCAATTAGAATTAGAGGCTGGCAAACTCTATATAATAATCATATTCATTGATTCTCACAGTCATTTACTATTATCGCATGCCCAGGTCTTTAATTACAGTAAAACCTATAATTCCTTTCCAAAGAGAAAAATATATGTATATTTTTGTATGCGTGGTGTCTCAGCCCACAGCTGCAAAATATATAAGCTAGATAGAGTTGGTAGAGATGAATAGAGTTGACCGTTTGACTGTTAGATTTTAAGGGGTCGATTTTCTCCTTTTGTTTTGAGATGTTCAGTAAGTCCTCACTCACATTCATGTATGGTTCCTTTTTCTTTTCTCTCCACGATGATGCAATGCAAGGTATTGTATAAATTATGCAATTAATCCCTTTTTCACGGTAACAATTCGTAACTTTGAAGACAATAGCGCAAAGTAGTCAAACTGTGAGAATGTGAATGTAAAAAGTCCCATATTGGAAAGTTGAGAAACCTAGCAAGGGCTTATAAGGAGTTGGGCCCCTATTGCCAATTGGTTTTGGGATGGAACCTCAACTTTCCTTCACAACCATCTTTTTAATTGGTAGAGAGGTCCAAAATCTTTTAAATTCTTAAATATGTGCAAAATATTTTGATGTAAGATACTCTCAAAAACTATATGTGCAAGTTATCCCCAAAATAAAAGTATTCTATATATCGAAAGATCTTCATAATTTATGTTTGAATTGGAGAGGTGTACATGTGAAAGAAATCTTCCACTATATATAGCTAATGTTTGATAATGAATCATTGCTTCGACTTCAGTAGTCATTGCTTTTGGAGGATTTGGTAATGAATCAGAGCTTCGACTTCTCGCTCAAAAAGAAGCTGGATTTCTCATCATTCACATGCATGTTTGCAGCTTTTAGCTTGTTCGTCTTTTCTTTTTCTTCAATGAAGATTCTCGACCCAAAAAAAAAAACTATGTTCTACTTCAAGCAAGGAAGAATGCAGTCACGTATGTACATTCATGACATTAGCTAATTTACTCCTCTCATTCTGACCCAGTATATATAATTGTATGTGTGTGTGCGTATATGTACTAGACTCTCCTTGTAGAACTAGATAGATATATAGCTCGTCCATGCACCACAACTAGCTAAATCGCTCTGTTAGCTATGCATCGGTCATTTGATACTGGAACATTTACAGAGATAAAGATATGCAAATTGAAGATACAGAAGATATATGATATGAAAAACCAGAACGTTGTATACGATTAACTTTTTTCATCTCACTGGATAATTAATGGCAGAGATATAGCTAATAACCCTCTGCCTCCTCTTGCAAGAGTTTGAAATATATTTGGTCAATACGAATCAGATATGTACGGTAACTTTGTCCTCTACATATATCTATATATATATACGTAACAACACCTATATAGTATTTGGCAGATATATCATGTGCATGCCAAAATTAGTCGGTAACTCTTTTCTTCTCCACACACGGACTGACTGACTAGTACTGCTACTATAGCTTCAAACCGAAAGCAAGCTACTGTCGAATTACGTACCCAACTTTATGCTAGTCAACACTAGTCACAATAGCATAAATCCACGCGTCCAATCCAAGCAAAGCACCAATGTTGTCTAAAAGAAGAGGAGCCCTGGAGGTCATCGTGGTGGGTGGGAGGGACGGATACTTTTTACTTTCAGATACCAGATTGCTGCCTCTCTCCCACAGCCAACTGGAGACTTAGAGTGAGGTCAAGATTTAAGTCTGGCAAACAGCAGCTTTTGTTGCTCATTATAACACCTGTTTGAAGTTGATTACCACCGTTAATACTCATGGAATCCGAGACGTCCACCTCATCATCATGATTAGGCGCACGCTTCTGATCCAACGTTGTCGCAGGCGGCCTAAATAATATTGGATTTCTAGCATCAGGCTGCATTAGTAGTGGCACCTTGTTGTCGCGGTGATGGGGTTTTTTCGGATCAAGAGCCGTACTAGTAGTAGTAGTACCCATCTTTACTAGCTTTTTCCTTATATGGGAGTTCCAGTAATTCTTCACCTCGTTGTCTGTCCTTCCTGGCAATCTTCCTGCTATCAATGACCACCTAAATTCATCCAATATCATAATCATATACATCCATGTTAGTACAGTTCCTTTTATTAGATTCAGTTTCCATAATCACTTAAAGCCAATCGTTTTTTCATGGTATTACCTAAATTAACTTGTAATCAACTATTTATAACAATAAATAGTTATATGTAAAGAATGCTAGCTATTTTTCTTTTTTGTCTTTCTCATTCAATTTGTGCCACGTGTATTCCCCTCACACATAAAATCTTTGTATTTAATGCAAAGTATCCATATTTTGCTTGTAAAGAGAATAAAGTGTTTTTGAACACATTAAATACGGGTGTTACTATTTAGACGATATTTACTGAAAACATTGATGACCACCTCTCTAATATAGGTGGGTTCCACATACACTGATAGAGTGGAATACACATAGCTAATATACCTCAACCATCAAAGTAACATTTTCCCATATATGATTAGTGTTACATATACATGTGCATATTTTCTCTTATATGCAGACATCCAAACATTATTACCGTGCGAACACCATGTATTTTCTACTACCCTTCATGCTTTCCTCCATGTTTACAATGACGTATGCACAATAATAACATCTGGATAGAAGAAGAATTGTATATACATATATGATAGTAGGCATATATTTATACACATGTATTTGTAATCTTGTGTTACTGTAGCTGGCTAGGTATATTGAAAAGCAAATTAAGTATGATTGTTTCGTAATTCGATTAAATTACACCATAAAACTCTCTCTATAGCTAGGTTGCTTAGGCAATCGTGTTATTGGGGAGTTAATTTTGGGGAAGGGGTTATGGATTGAGATTAGAGTAGTTTCATGTATATATACCGGTTCCCGAGGAGTGCATGAAGCCTGATGATGAGGTCCTCTTCATCTTCTCCAAAGCTTCCGCGTTTAAGATCTGGTCTCAGATAGTTTATCCATCTCAGTCGACAACTTTTACCGCAGCGTCGCAACCCTAACCATAATCGACAATATTATTCAATATATATATTATATGTATGTACATATTACAACTGTAGAAAGAAGAAAAGAGAATCTACGACCTTTATGTATCGCCTCTTTTTCCTGGATTGAATTCATTCATCCCACAATAATGATCAATTGTCAATTTCATACATATATCAGTAATTGTTGATATCTTATACTTTTGCATATGTAATTATGCATACAGTTTCAAAGAAAATATAACCCAAACTCTGATCGAGTAGTAGTAATCAAAGAAATTGATGATTAAGAAGATATATATATGTAGTAGTAGTAAATTACCTGCAGCCTTAGGAAGGGAATTCCAACAGCCTTCCCCATGTTTTTGGATGTAATCAACGAGTTTCTGATCTTCTTGCTTAGACCATGCTCCTTTAGTTATCTCTGTCTTCTCACAGCAAGGCTTCCTCATTGAGTAAAAACCCTAGCTGAGCTTGTTATAGAACAATAGTAATCGGATGATGCAAATTGCATGCAGCAATAGAGTTAATTAGGATCGATATATGAAAATTAGTTATGGATGATATTCACAGAGAGAGAGAGAGAGAGAGAGATAGAGAGAGAGAGAGAGAGAGAGAGAGAGACTAAGCAAGGCCCCATGAATCCAGGATATCGGTAGAGCAACAGGAATATATAATGATATTTTATGAAGGAATTTGTGTGTGGGTGAAGAAGGTCAGGGGGAAGGGGGATTATATTATAATCTGGTGTGTTGAAGAAGGTCAAGTTGTCTCCAAGTTGACATGGACTGGTTGTTTTTGAATTTTAGCCATGTTTTGATGTGTCTCCTGTGAATGGCAAGAATGTGCATGGTTTGGTGAGGTGAGAAATTGAGAATGTGCACCACTTACCTTTGACCTTTGTTTCCACCAGCTAACCCAATTGAGTGGGTAGGCCCCAACATTTTACGTTCTCCCACGTCAGCATTAAAATCACACCTGTTGGCTTCTTCAATTTAACAAGTGGTGCTTTCTGCTTTGTCACTGTACTAGTACTAGACGAGAGACAGGCAATAACCAAATTTCAAGGATTTGTACGAAATTTTTTTCCTTTGTCAAGAAAATGGAACCGTATGTAGAGTTCAGTCTACTAGTCGGGACAAAACTTTACGACTTCACTACCAAATAATTAATTTCATTTTACAATTACAATTAGCCACGTACGAGTTTCAGTTAATTAACACACAATACAATGCAAGTCATGTTTACGAATCACTTCATGTCTGCCTTATAATTAGCTCTTAATTAAATGGACAAGTGGTTAGTTTTAGATTTTTCTCTTCAAATAAACTTTATATTAAGGGTGGTCATTGAGACCGAAAAATCGAAACACCGAGCTACACTAGAAGGAAAAAACTATGTTGACTAAAAAGTCAACAAATTGGCATCAAATCGGACCAGACCAGTTCAAACCAATTTTGATTTCACACTTTACAAAATCATACCGGACCGGCTGCCTTTTTTTAATTTATAATTATTCAAGTCCAATGCTAAATTTCTAATCCCATAACTAATATTTCCCCAAACCCAACTTCAAAGCACCTTTCTTTTCTATGCTCAATCATCTCTCTTTGTATGAAATTGGATCATTTGTGAAGTTTTAAGCCCAAAAAATAAAATTTTAGTTGAAATTTGTAAAAAAATAATAATTTAAAAAATAAATAAAATAAAATATGGTCCGAAACCGAAAAAACAAGAAATCGCACCGGAATTAATTTAAACCGGACTAGGCAATTTCATACATTTTTTTTCACCAAAACCAGACTGAACTGCACCGGTTAAATAGTACTGGTGTGAGGTGGAAATCGGACCTCGCCCACCCCTACTTTATATGAGTATTTATTTAATATATCATGCTAAAATGAGCTTATTTATAAAAACCAGACAACGGTGATCGACTCTTCTTTTGCAATTTTTACAAGAAGAAATTCAATTTGGTAACTCAAATAAATCTCAATCCTTATGATTACAGTTTTATTATTTTTGTGCGAAAAACAAAACAAAGAACAAATATATATATATATATATTTTTTAAAAGGAAGTTGGGGTTTGCGTGGGAAATCATGGTTTCACTCGTCTCATGGGAGCTTCTATAATGAGGATTTATAGTGAGGAGGCTATTTGAGGAGGCCCATCTCACCATTAAAAGGGGTGTGGACCCCCCAATGCACCCCCCATGTACTTTGTTTTTAGTTGTTGATGGTGAGATTTCACCTCCTCAAATAACCTCCTCACTCATCCTCCTCATTCTAGCCTCTCCACTCGTCTCATACCAAACAAGACTTAGACCTGAAGACAATCGGGCCATGTAACCGGGTTGGGCCAGGTCTGGACAGTTTATTGGGTCTGGCTTAATCATAAAAGTAAAAAGGAGGAGACAGAGACAATCCTTCTTCTTGGATCTTACGTCTCGCACACTGACACGTGTCCTTGTCTACTTCACCTTTTGAACATTTCCAAAACTCGCACAGCGCACTGGCCTTGATCATGAGTTGCTGACCACGATCACTTCCCTCATCAGTCTCTTGACACACAACACAACACAAACCCCACCACCTATAAAAGCCGCGAGCTTTCAAATCCCACTTTCTCGCTTTTCCCAAAATCCCAAAAATGACCCAACTCACCGAGGCCTACGCCTGCGTACCGTCAACGGAGCGAGGCCGTGGGATTCTGATGTCCGGCGACCCCAAATCCGACAGGCTCCTCTATACCAATGGCAGATCCGTAATTATCATGAATCTTCAGAATCCTCTCGACGTCGCCGTTTACGCCGAGCACGCCTACCCCGCCACCGTCGCCAGGTTCTCGCCCAACGGCGAGTGGATCGCGTCCGCCGATGTCTCCGGCACTGTCAGGATTTGGGGGACCCACAACGACTTCGTTCTGAAGAACGAGTTCAAGGTCCTCTCGGGTCGGATCGACGACCTCCAGTGGTCCCCAGACGGAATGAGGATCGTTGCTTCTGGTGAAGGAAAAGGAAAATCCTTAGTTCGCGCATTCATGTAAGCGTCATCCTTCTCATTTTTCATATTTTAAACTATACATCGGGTTTCTCTTTTTGGTGGATTTTCTGGCCTTTTGTGTTTGGTTAGTGAGAAGTTGCTGGAATTTGTACGATTGAATAGGTGGGATTCGGGCTCGACTGTGGGGGATTTTGATGGGCACTCGAAGCGAGTTTTAAGCTGTGCGTTTAAGCCAACAAGACCCTTTCGCATTGTCACTTGTGGAGAGGATTTCTTGGTCAATTTCTACGAAGGACCGCCCTTTAAATTCAAGCTGTCTCACAGGTTTCTTCATTATTTATCATAGCAACTACTTGAGGCCTCGATGTTTGTGTTACCGTACTGACTCAAAGTTTTTCCTTTTTTTTTGTTGTGGTTGTTGTTTGTATGTTAGGGATCATTCAAACTTTGTGAATTGTGTGAGGTTCTCTCCAGATGGAAGTAAGTTTATCACTGTAAGCTCAGATAAAAGTGGTATTATTTATGATGCAAAGACCGCGGAGAAGATTGGAGGGTTTTCCTCTGAAGATGGCCACAAAGGCAGTATTTATGCTCTTAGTTGGAGTCCTGATGGTAAACAGGTAAAGTTGAGATTGTTATTTTCTACCCAAGAGATTTTGTTAATTTAATTGCTTATTGGACATTATTTAGATTCAGGGGATTTCATGTACTTTAGGCCTAACCAAGTGTTATCTGCTGAACTGAACCCTATTATAAGGATCGCTGCTTTGCATATTTTATTTTCTCTGTATTGTAACATCTTTCATCCCTGCTTGAATGTGCTGATCAGTTCCAATTAAAATATTAGGTTCTGACTGTGTCTGCTGACAAATCAGCAAAAGTATGGGAGATATCTGAGGATAATAATGGGAAGGTGAAAAGAACATTGCCTCCTCCTGGATCAGGTGGAGTGGATGACATGCTAGTTGGGTGTCTATGGCAGAATGATCATCTTGTTACTGTTTCACTTGGAGGCACCATTAGTATATTCTCAGCAAGTGACCTTGATAAAGCCCCGCTGTTGATATCTGGACACATGAAGAATATTACGTCGTTGGCTGTTCTAAATAGTGACCCAAAAGTTATATTGTCTAGCAGCTATGATGGTCTAATTGTTAAATGGATTCAAGGCGTTGGATATGGTGGAAAATTACGAAGGAAGGAAAATTCTCAAATAAAATGTTTAGCAGCTGTTGAAGAAGAAATCGTTTCATGTGGATTTGACAATAAGGTGACTAGAATTTTATTTTCTTTTAGTCTCATGCAATTTGATGGTTTCTACTTTACATTTTTATTCCGTAGGAATTTTTTTTTGCCTGATTTGGATTTCACTTTATCTCAGTTTCTTTCCTCATGCATATTTCTCATAACTACCCAGGTTTGGAGAGTTCCTGTCCACAGTGATCAATGTGGAGATGCAGAGCCTATTGATATTGGCAGTCAGCCAAAGGACATAAGCCTTGCCCTTCAATCTCCTGAACTTGCTTTGGTTTCAACTGACACAGGAGTTGTCATGCTCCGTGGCACAAAAGTAGTGTCAACTATTAACCTTGGGTTTACTGTGACTGCATGTACTATTGCACCAGATGGAAGTGAAGCCATTGTTGGTGGGCAGGACGGTAAACTGCATATGTATTCTATAATGGGTGATACACTTAAAGAAGAGGCTGTCTTAGAGAAACATCGGGGGTCTATTTCTGTCATACGCTACTCTCCAGATGTTTCAATGTTTGCATCTGGAGATTTGAACCGAGAAGCTGTCATATGGGATCGTGTCTCCCGAGAGGTAGTGTGCTCATTGTCCTCAGCTACTGCTTATCATTTCATCATTCTAACACCATTGTTCTGGTATTATTGTGATTTGCAGTATGAAAAGGATAGGAAAAAAAAAAAAATCTTTTTCGCCTAGTCACGTGTTTATGTGTGTCCATGCATGTGTGTGTAGAATATGCAGATGTGTGCATCAGTCCATTATCAGCTGCTGTTCTTTGTTTAACCAAATTTAGTCAAACGCGTGAATAGACAATCATGTGAGGCAGTAAGTTGTTGGTTCTTTATATGGAATGTCAAGTGTGCCTCAGTTTGATTCAACTGATTACAAAATCTCTCATGTAAATGGAGAGCTTCAGTAACATGTTTCTAGAGGCTGGTTGTGATTGTTGCCTTCTTATTAATGTTGACCACCTTGCATTTTGACACATTCTATCCCAGGTCAAGCTTAAGAACATGTTGTACCATACTGCCCGGATAAACTGCCTTGCTTGGTCTCCTGATAGCAGCATGGTTGCAACTGGGTCTCTTGACACGTGTGTCATCATATATGAAGTTGACAAGCCTGCATCAAGCCGTATAACCATTAAGAATGCTCACTTGGGTGGGGTGTATGGCTTAGCGTTCACGGATGAGCACACTGTGGTAAGCTCTGGCGAGGATGCATTTGTTCGTGCTTGGAGGTTGACTCCGCAATGAAGAGATATGGAGGCCTTCGCGGGCATATGAAGGCGACAATAAGAAAGTTGGAGTTCTTGCTCGGTTTTATGGGTTTATACTTTTGTGAGCTTGCCATCCAATAGAAGGATGAGAAGGCTATTTTCCATGAATTGAAAAGTATCAAGAAGGTAAACCAACCGTTTCTGTTGTCTGGTGTGTTACAAACGGCAACTCATAAGCAATTGTCTTATTCCATGACTCATGACCTTGCAGCTTGGAGTAGGTGGTGATTACGTGTGATGTTTTTCTTATATGTCTAGTTTGGCCATATGAATTTTGCAAAGGTTGAACCAGATATCTTTGCTTTGTAAACTTCCAGAGTTTTGAACCATAGAAATCATGGCGTGGTAGCCGCAGGCACAACAATCTTGATCGTGGACATGACTATCAATGCAGAACCAGAAGATCAAACTGAATTTCAGCTGTGTTTTTTTTAATGAAACCTTTCTTTACTAGCTTTTTATGTGAGGAAAGTCTCAAGTATTTCACTTTGTTTTGTAATTACTTTTATATATGGTATTTATATTTTATTATTTCTTCTGTTTGCCACTTTGTTACACATGGTGAAATTTGTTTTTGTTGTCATTGTTTGCTTTTGTGAACAATGGGTTTGGACAGTTGGTGTTAAGGTATGTTGTAAGCTGAAGAACAAAGGTGTGTTGTACGATATTCTTCGTCTCCATTATGAAAACAAGTTGTACATAATTAACAATGCTGGCTCCTGTAAACCAACATGGAAATGTCACAGGGCCAAAAAAAAATTGAGATAGCAATAGCAAACAGCCCTCTGTGCTAATGAATTGTGAAGCACAACCCATGGGAAAAGCAAGGAAACAAACAATTAAACGAAGCTACAGTTTCAGAGTTCATCGTGCATCAATCTTTCTAGAGGTTCCTCCACTTTATGAACTGCATTGTCATAGACCTGGGCATGATTTACGGCATCTTCAACAGCTCCAGGTCTGAGTTCTGCTCGCCCACCCATACCAGCCTTAATGGCAGCTGTGACCTGCCTCTGCAATGTCAGTAGACCAATACGCTTCGAACCCACATAAAGAACCGCACAAGAAAACAGGAAAATTCCTAATACAAGTATCACCCTGTCCAGATACAACTCAACATGAGAGACTGCATATATACATAATAGTTATACTACAATGGAAATCTTCTCTTCTAAACCTGTCAATGACATCTTGTCGTTGCATCGTGGAGAGTAGGTTTCTGGTTCGCATCAACAATGAACGGTGTCCCTTATATTCACTTTCAGCCTTCCGTAGTACTCCAGTAGAGTCCTCTGCATAATCCAACACATAGAGTTAGTCTAACTCAGGAAAATAACCTTTTCAAATCAAATGTAAGACGAACATTCATGTTTCAAATATTGCATACAACCATACTCCGCAAGTAATGTGTCAGAAAGATCGTCCTACAACGGAGCTAGATCAATGTCATATACTGGATGTGTCTTCATTGACAACTTCTAAGACACATTGTGAAAAGCTAAACCAGAATAAAGTAACATGAGAACGCTCAGAGAACTTTGTGACATGGGTAGTACACTAGATCAGATGAGGTACGGTGCCTTGAGTACATTGATGTTCTCTCTCAAGAGCAGTGGGCAAGGCTATGAACTATTAGTAAGAGACATACGGTGCTGAGAGCTAATCATAAGCAGCTCAACATATTACATCATTCTCATAGAACAAAATGTCTGCCACATATTACATCATTCTCATAGAACAAAATGTCTGCCAGATTCCAATGTTGAAACAATTTCATAGAGCAGAGGAAGTAAGAGCTGAGCTGTTATCCATGATTCTAATTGATCTAAAACCTCATATTTCCATGGTCAATCTGTATAACTATTAACTAGAGGGCCCCCAAAAAAACAAACGAATCGAATTCTGATGATTGGAGTAGGTCGAATTCTCCATAAATATCTAAATATAATTTTTTTTCTCCTTTTATTTCTATGACGTACCGCTTTAAAACACAATCCAGTATGAAAGTCAAACTCAGTGTCACAAGATAAGCTGTTCAGAAAAATCATAAAAATTGCAGTGACACAGTCTAAGCAAGGTAAAGATTGATTTGATGTGTAACGAAAGGAACTCACCAAAAGTCATGAGTGTGCCTGCAGTTCTTTCCACCTCCTACACAAATAAACAAGAAAACCAAATATTGCATCCCACCAAAAAAAAATTCATGCTACCATCGCATAAAGATGTATTAATTAGAATAAATGGAAAATACAAAGTAGTGCAACTAACCTGAACCATCAGCTGACGAGTACGGCGAAGGCTCTCTGTGATGCTTTCTGCGGCAGATGTCATTCCAGCCTTTGTTCTAGAACCAAATGATAAAATAAATTCTGTAAATAAAAAATTCATGTAAAAAGTAAGAGAATACTGTATTCATGCTCATAAAGATTTTTCCCCAAGTTAATGACGATGCATATGTAAACCAAGCATACATAAACATGAATATTATTTTACTGAAAGCCGTTCATGAATATTATTTTACTGAAAGCCGTTTAGAATAATTGATACATACTGTAAGTTGCGTCGACGAACTGTGGACTCTTCTCCACCCCCCAAAAGAAGTTCTCTCTGCAACAAACACAGCCAAATCAATCACAATTTGCTCAAAATATTTTTTTTCTCAATAACACTTTAAATAAATAAATTACTCTACGGAACTTCTTAAGCTTATTATCATTAAGAAGGAAATTACAGCAACTATCTTATTTTGCCTCATAAAAATAGTTTAGCATGAAGATAATATGAATTAGTGAACAACCCAGATTTCACAATGCTAATGTGAAAGACAATAAACTAACCCAAATTAGTCCAAAAATGAATTAATTACCTCTTTCTGAGCAGCTTTCCTCATGTTAGCCTTTGCTTGCAAATTGGCATTCCTCATACTCAACCGCAAACTGATCAGGAAGACCACAAAACCCAGCGTTACCAAAACATTTAAATATTAAATTCAAGAGAGCTTTAATTGGTTGCAAATATAACTAACTTAAGAGCATTCAAAATTAGAATATATTTCTCTTTAATTCGTGATGAAGTTTCACGATTTCATCCATTTCCTTATTTCTGCGGAAACAGAAGTGATAATTCTTTTATGTTTTCAAAAAAATTCTCGGCCAACAAACAGACAGGGCTAGGAGCATAAAATTGAAATACCTTTGGGATCGGTTTTTCCAGGACTCAAGCAAGTTCTTTGCCGACTGGACCTGATCGTCGGTGGGCAACTGAGGGGCAAACAGATCGAGCTTGAACTGCAATGAATTAAGCAACGCCAAGCCGTCTTGGGCGAGCCCGTTCATTCTAGGCAGCGAGTCTCTCTGCGTCTCCGCAATGGTAACTCTAGGTGATTTCCCATACTCCTCTATTGCCTTTATTTGCTCTACCACCTTACTGTACGTTTCGTCCCACTCCTTATTCACCTTCTCCACTTCCTCCTCTACCTTGTCCATCTACACTTTACAATCTGTTTCACCGGAATCCTTATGGAAAATCGGGGAGGGCGATGACTGTTTGGTTTCTTAGAAAATGTGGGAGAAGAAGGAAATATGAGATTTTGTTTTGTTTTGTTTTTTATTTTAGTCTTGAAACGCACAGTTCCAGTAATGTCCTCACGCTGAGCGAGCCGGGTCTGATTTGGGCCTAACGTTGAGATAAACAGAATTCAGGTGACCCACGAATTATGATTCATGTACTCATGAGACCAATAAAACCAATACATTACGAATCTAAGTATTGGGCCTTTCTACTCACACACAGAGTACGGTAAGAGTTCTTAAATCCAACTAATTCAATGAAATGTTATAAATTTTATCAAATTTCTTCGAATGAGCATAACGTTTGACATAATTTGTAACATATATAATTGGGAGTAATTTGATAAAATTAGTGACGTGTTACTCGAATTTAAAACTACATTGAAAATTTGGAAATTACGGGAAGCAAAGTAATAAAAAGGGCAAACTTAGGGGAATAAAAATGACTTTGGAGTATTTGGAACCCCACCATGAGCAAATAATTGAGCACTGGTACTCAATCTCCAAAGCATCTTTTTATTATCTTATTGTTATTTCGTCGGATTTCTTGGGTCGCAAAGACTTGGGAATTTGAGAGTGAATTATTGAAGTATCAAGTAGCAGGCTTGATAAGTTGTTTGTTACAATCCAAAATTCAAGTTCACGTGCTAAAGACATAATTCACGTAATTTTCAACAACAATTGGGTCTGCCTGCGTGCGTTCAAAATGGACCACCGTAACATCACCGTGTGTGGCCCGAATCCTAGACTTTGTCATTGACTTGGCAACACCAACACCAAGTTCATAAATTTATCCACATGATGCCTTGTTAGATAAAATCAACGGAAACCAGAAAAATCCAGAAATTTAAAATAATGTGAAATTCTAAGGAGAGAATGAGAGACAGGAAAATATTGCATACAAGAGACACAGAGACAGAGGGCGCAGAGGGACCATAACTTTATGTAGCTTTCAATAATGAAATAAGAAAGACGAGAGAAGGGATGGATGGAGCATGGATCAACCCTAATCAGTGGTTGTGTAATAATTGGTTGTGAAAACCAATGAAATTATTATTTTTTTTTTTAAAAAAAATTCATTTTTATTTGGTCAACAAAGAAACTCTCCCTTTTTAAAAAAAATAAAAAATAATTCTTATTTGTTGTGAATAAATAAGAATATAATAAAGGAAGCATTTGTCATGTCAATTAGGTTCTTAAAGTTTATGTAATAATGAAATTGAGATCTCTAAAGGGGTGCTGCCTGCCACATGATGAAATGATGAATATGTAGTTTTAACTTTTAACTAAATCATCACGGATTCACGAGTATCTCACTATCTATTTGTTTAGTAGAAAATCTTGACGAAAATGATTATTTGGGTTGCTACTCTAACTCTAATCTCCTACTGTGAGATTTCATGAGTTCAACACGTTATGGAATGACAAGAAACACATAGACATAGCTCCAGTCTAAATTGTGCGGTTGCTGCCGACGCATGCGAAAAAGACACTCCAACTTGCCTAATTTACCCCGCCTTTTTTATTAGTAAATGAAATGACAAATCGTCTGCATAATATTTTATTGTTACTATATTCAGAGTGGGCGGATAGGAGAAAGACATGTCTCAGTTTGGTATCAGAGCCGGTTACAATGGTGGACAATCTAAGACCAGAAGGCGGAGACGAAACGCACTCTCACCGAAAGACTCCATAACCTGACGACGACTGTGAAGTGCTCGGATTATGTTCTAATTAAACCAAATATATTACGCATGAATTTGTCTGTCATTCACAAAGATAAAAACTTATCTGTATACTGTATAGATAAAATTCACACGTGGAACTTACTTATAGTAATAATCAACTAAACTTTGCAGATGCCCTTTTATTGTTGGATGGTCCCATACCATCCCATGTAGGGCGGGTGTAGAGGTAGCCCAAACCCCAGGCAAGGACCAACTGTGACTTGTGATGTGATACACTCCATTTCCATTTCCAGTTTTTGTACGTTTCTTTTAGGAAACTCGTAAAAAATATTATTATTATTCTGCTCACTGCTCACCCTTCTTTATCTATAAAAAACCACTCTCCTCTCCACTTTTCATATCCACACTGCACTGTGGCTCTTCCTCTCTCCCTCTCTCCCTCCGTCTCTGTCTCTCAGTTTCCTTTTACCTTGTGCTGCTTTGTGTTTAAGATGAGATCCCCATTGTTGTTGCTTAGTCTTCTTCTTGTTATCCAGTGCATCGCGCATGCAACTGAGCACAATGAAGCTTCAGTCCTTCACCCTGAGAGTCTCAATTTGGACACGGGTGGGCTGAGCAGAGCCAGCTTCCCCAAGGGCTTTGTCTTCGGAACGGCGACGTCCGCTTATCAAGTCGAAGGCATGGCCCACAAGGAGGGTCGTGGCCCCAGCATTTGGGATGAGTTTATTAAAATTCCCGGTACTCAATTTTAATTAATTCCGTTTCTTTCATTTTTACCAGTTAATTATAATTCAATTTATTTATATATATTTGTATCTGAGATTTTATTTCTTCTGGATATAGGAATTGTTGCCAATAATGGTACAGGAGAAGTCGCTGTGGACCAGTATCACCGGTACAAAGTAAGTTTTTTTTTTTTTTTCCTTTTTCTTCATTCTCAGAAAAAGAATAGTTTGGTTAAAGGACCGTGAGCCAATTGCCACACATGCACAGACATAGACAGAGACAATCTACAAACACTTTATTATTTATGGTTGAAAATATGAAAATGAAAAACTTTTTTTGTTGTTACAGCAAGATGTTGATCTCATGGCAAACCTAAATTTCGATGCCTATCGATTCTCAATATCATGGTCCAGAATTTTCCCAAGTAAATCATCCACTCTCTTTTTAATTATGTCACATTTATTTTTAATTTGTTGGTTTAATTCTTAATATCTATGTATGTATAATGTAGATGGTACTGGGAAAGTCAACTGGAAAGGAGTTGCATACTACAACCGGTTAATTAACTACTTGATCAAAAGAGGTAATTAAATTATGTAAATCAAAACAAATTAATTCATAGCATTGTTTGATTTGATTCTTATATTTGTATTTTTTTTGTAGGCATTACTCCCTATGCAAACTTATACCATTATGATCTTCCCCTTGCACTTGAGAAGAAGTACTTGGGATTGTTAAATGACAAAGTAGTGTAAGTGCTATGACACTAAAACTCAGAAAATCCATATAATGTTTTCTGCTGTCCTCAGAGAATTAAATAGTCTGACTCTGAGATGTGCTTCTAAACTTGGCAGGAAAGATTTTGCTGACTATGCAGAGTTTTGTTTCAAGACATTTGGAGACAGAGTGAAGAACTGGATGACCTTCAATGAGCCTAGAGTGGTGGCTGCTCTTGGCTATGATAATGGTTTCTTTGCTCCGGCACGGTGTTCCAAAGCATATGGAAAGTGCACAGCTGGAAATTCATCCACCGAGCCTTATATCGCAGCTCATCATTTGATTTTATCACATGGCGCTGCAGTTCAGAGATACCGTGAGAAGTATCAGGTTAGAGAAACATTGACCTCAACTTGATTCTTGAAATTAGTTTTGTTCTTAAATTTGCTGCTTTATGTTTTCAGAAGGTACAAAAAGGAAGGATTGGTATTCTCTTGGATTTTGTTTGGTATGAGCCTCTTACCAGATCAAAGGCTGACCACTATGCGGCTCAGAGGGCCAGAGACTTTCATGTTGGATGGTAAGAATCCTTAATTAACATGGCAAGCATATGCTTAAGCGTTCGTTTTATGTTAACGAATTCGATCTATTCTTCTCGGATTAACAAATTTTATCAGATAAAATTCACAACTGACATTGTGGGATTGGGTTTTAACTAACAGGTTCATCCATCCCATTGTATATGGAGAGTATCCAAGAACAATCCAAGAAATAGTTGGTGATAGGCTACCCAAGTTCACCAAAGAGGAGGTTAAGATGGTGAAGGGCTCAATGGATTTTGTTGGCATCAACCAATATACTGCTTACTACATGTACGATCCACATCAATCAAAACCAAAGGTCTTGGGGTACCAGCAGGACTGGAATGCAGGATTTGCTTGTAAGATACAGTCTTTACCTATAGATATGTTGTGATACAAATAATACATAAAAATGCTCATCTTATTTTCTTAACCATTTTTTGTATCTCGCATGCAATTTGCAGATAAGAAGAATGGAGTGCCTATTGGTCCTAGCATTTTTTGTATCTCGCATGCAATCTGCAGATAAGAAGAATGGAGTGCCTATTGGTCCTAGGGTAATTTACTATCCAATCCAAACACACATTACTTCCGTTCACTTAAAAAGCATTATTATGAACTCACTGGTTTAATTTGACGTGAACATCCCGCAGGCATATTCTAGTTGGCTCTACCAAGTACCGTGGGGTTTGTACAAAGCTATAACCTACATAAAAGACCATTATGGAAACCCACCAGTGATTTTATCTGAAAATGGTAGAGGATCTTCTCATTTTCTTTTCTTTTTTTCGTTTTGTTTTGTTAGAAGATGATCAATTGATGTTGTTGTGATTTTGCAGGCATGGATAATCCTGGCAATTGGACACGTTCACAGGGATTGCACGACACCACAAGGATCAAGTTCTACAACAGCTATATGATTCAGCTGAAGAAGGCAGTTGATGAAGGAGCCAATGTGCTGGGCTACTTCGCGTGGTCATTGCTCGACAACTTTGAATGGAGGTTGGGATACACTTCAAGATTTGGCATAGTCTATGTTGATTTCAAAACCCTCGAGAGATACCCAAAAATGTCCGCCTACTGGTTCAAGAAGCTACTCACCAAAACCAAGCACTAGCTAGTACCTTCTAGTCTAGTATTGTTGGTGGGGAATAATAACAAATAGAAACCCCTCCCCTAATGCTTCTCAATTTCTTCCTTGTTGACGAACAAAATGTAATCTTTGTCTGTCAATGGAATGAACTAAGAACCTCTTGTTTTGCTAAATAATAGATAAGGCCTCGTTTGGGTGATGATGGTGGGATTTCTTTAATTCTTAGATTTTAAGATTAAAGATACAGCCACACAAGCTTGGACTAGAGAATTGAAAGGGGCCGCGCGAACGCAGGCCCCCACTAACACAAATTATGACGTTGGCTCTCCCACTTGGGGAGACCATAGGAGAGCACCCCTCCAAAGTGCAATGGAGGTCACCAACCTAGGCTATGGGCCTTCTTGATCGCCCATTGACCCCGTCCAGGTAAGTGAGAAATCAGGTTGCTTTCCTTGGCTTTTATATCTTCTACTTCCTGCTTCCCTTGCGTGTTTCTTCGATGTGGGATTTAAAAAAACATCCAAAGACAGCAGCGCTCATGATTTACGAGCCTTTCAAATATAACAACAGCTCAACGAAAGTAGCCAAAAGTGTCCAAAAATAAAACAAGAGAATAGAAATAATAATTTATAGAGAAATAAAGTAATCATACACGAGAAAAGAAATTCAAGATACTACTATTTTTATTCCCTGAACTCTTGAAGCTGCTTCTCTTCAACTTCTCATTTTTCACCATCCTTTTTCCCTTGGGAAGCTTAGAGTTTACACTGTCCTGGGACTCTGGAGTTACACACAATATGTCTGAAGACTCTATCTCTGTCACCACTGAAACCTCTTCGCCAATGCTTTCTACATGCTCTAAGATAATATCATTTTTCCTTTTTCTGGAAGGAACATTGTTGACAACTTTAGGTTTGATGTTATTGGGAGAGATATTCGAGGTGTCCGAAATTTCCACCTCAGCTGCATTTGAAACTTGTTTAGTTTTGCTCCCAATTTGATCTGAGTGAACATCATCTTTCCGTTTCTTGAAAGGATTGTTGTGGCGAACCTTCAACGGGATGGTGTTGGGTGCTATTGTGGTCTCCACTGTTTCATTATTTGTCAATGGCACAATTAGCTTTGCAAGTGCTGCAGATTCATTCAAATACTTTTTTTCATTTGAAACAGGATTCTGCCTTTCTGTAGAACAAAAGTTTGGAATTTGAGTCAAAAACAGCAGATTTCATTGTGTTAAACAACCTATAAGAAAGCGCAGGTGTGTTAAGTGGGGAAGAATTAAAGAAACTTGCCTGTAGGCCCTGTACTATCTTTCCCTTGGCTTTTATGGGAGGGAAAGCTTACAAAACAGCTATCTTCTGCAGATACCACAGCGGTCTCAGGTCCCTGAATTTGACCAATATTTTGGCTCTTAATAGGTTCTTGATGATGTCTAGAAGCTGGGAAATGATCAAAGGCCTTCATATTTATGGGGTCCAAGTTTCCTTCAGCAATTGCAGTAGCTACTGATGGAGGCATTTCTCTAGTACAATTTGTAATTGGTCAAGGAAAATAAATGCAGATATGGCAAGAACTATTTAACATCGAAATAAAAAGGGATTAGGAACAAAAAGATACGGTCCAAGGAAATTGAGTTCTCCATCTAGAGACTGCACAAGCTTTTCTGGAATGGCTTTCATGTGTTTGACCTTTTTCTTTTCGGCATCAAATCTACATGGAAGTATAAAAAGACCAGCAGGAGTCACTACTGTAAACAAATAGAAAACGCCAGTATATTTATTACTCAGTGTGCTACTTTCATATTACTCACATTTGAGCATGCTGAAAAACTGCAACTGCTTCTTTGAAACATTTGGGGTAATCTTCAGGCATTTGATTGCCCTTCTGCGATTTCAAAACTGATAGAGCCTGCAAGAAATGAAGCATGAGGCATCATAAACAGTTTTAAAATAATAGGAAAATAAATTATAAACATAAGATAATGAGAAAACATGTACGTATACATTCAATAATTATGTTGACATTTTAAGAAGCTGTACTGCACACTTACACGATCTAAGTTACGATACTTAGAAACCAAGGCATAAGCTTTTGCAATCCCAATTCCATGAACAGATGGAAGGAAATCACAGCCGGCCAAAACACACATACCTGCAAGAATGCCAGATTATAAGATGGTTCATGCTGTGGAAATGCTTATTAGAGCCATTGAGATATGTTCTATCCTCTCATGACAATAGAAACATGTTTTCAAGACTGAAAGCAAGCCTAAAAGAAAATTTTGGTTGGAAAAAAGGGATGGCCCTGTATCAAGGGAACAATACTTAATATCAGTGTGAGGTGCAGAAGTTGCTTATACAAAAGTCATTTATGTTGTGCATATTTTGTTACTGTTTCAGATGATGGTTTATGGATGACGCAGCTACATAGATGTTTTCATTTAAAACATACGCATATAAAAGAGCTTCAGTGTCAGATTGAACTAACCTGTGAATAATTCCTGATCAAAATTTTGGAAGGAAGGTGTACGGCCCACTGGATTAAAAACATTCTCCAGCACCATCTCTTCACCGTTACCATATTGGTCCATCTTAAAGACAACCTGTTTGCAACCAATGCAAATCAAAACAAACAAAACAGCAGCAAGTTCAATGATACATGATCAAAATGAAGTCATCAGGAGAGGATTTGACCTCTATCTCCATCATATCAAAATTTCATGGAGATTCTTACAGCTTGGCAACCATATGCCACTAGATCACTATCCTCTGTAATCACTGCAGCAATTCCACCCTTCTCTGCTTCGAGATTGGACAGGAATGCTAGCTGTGCATCAGCCTCATATGGAGCCACTACAAATTCAATATTCTCTGATCTCAGAATCTGAAAGGTCAATAGTGCACAAAATTACTCAGGACTCAGGGTTGGGTTTGAATCCAAGAATAAAAAAAAGAAATGAAAAGGCCCTGGTATCATAATTGAATTAGAACTTTGCAGGAAAACAGAATATGCATCAAGCAAAGTACCTGTATTAGTTGATGTGCCATAGATGGAGTTACACTCACTGCCCTCTACAAGTGAAGAAACAAACACAGTAGATAATTCAGATATATATACAACATTTAAGAACAAGAAAAACTGATGTCGAAGATGAATTAGTACTCAACATAATGCGGAGAAATTATGATCTCGTAATAGAACCCCAATTGAACTTTGAACACTTTCTATGCCTACCATGTTTTCTGAACCTCCCATAGAATCTTGAGTTAATAGTTTGGAGGAATGATAAATCACGTTAGCTAGTCACGATAATTGTAAGTTTCAAAACTAAGAATGAGTAACAGGAGACAAAGTAATACATAACTCCTAGTGATGTCTTGAGCTCAAAGTTTATGCAGCTCACTATATCCAAGATTCTAAATAACACAAACCCAATTCATTTTTGAAAATGAACTGGCCAGAAGAAGAGCACAAACAACAGTAAATGATTTAGGATATAGGATCTAGATATGCAACACACTTGGTGAACAAAATTAAATAAATACCTGGAAGAGCTCAGTGGCAGCTCTAATATCCCCTTCCTTAAATTTTGCCATTGCCAAATCATGATTAGTCTTTCTTCTCCTGAATCAGTAACAAGTTTGTGCATTAATAACACGAACACGGTTTAAAAAGAAAAATAATAATAAGATGGAGAAAAACAAACGGGTATTGTGGAAACGTGCCTGTGGCGCTCTTCTGCAGTGGCAGCCTTACATGGTACATTGCCACCATCAAAGACGACTACTGGGGTTATCTTATGGTGACGAAGCAGATTTATTCGGTGCATAAAATAATCTATGTATTTCAATTTCCTTTCGCTATTTGAATTCATACAAAGCTCCAAACTACATGAATATGCTGCAGAAAAAAATAATAACATTAATAAATAGATAAACCAATGAAATCTCATCACCCAACTGACCCAAAAAGGAAATTGAAGCAGCATGTTTACCTCCTTTGTGAAGCCATGAATAGGCGTCGATACCCACCTGCAAATAAATTTACAAAACACTCACATTTCAGTTTGAGAAATAAAATGGAATGATTATAAGAGAGACCCAATTCAAAATCACACTGAGAAAATCGAAAACTAAAACATGGGATTGCTACTTACGCGCTTGCCGGCATATTTCTTGATATGAATGGGTGCAATATAAGGTTTCATGAATCTGAGAAGATCTTTGATACCCATTTGGTTGTTGCTCCTTCACCTCTGGGTTTAGGGTTTTTCCTTTTTCTATTTTTAGGTTTTCTGGGTCCTCTGATTTTTTTATAAAAATTATAAATTTTTGCTTTGTAAGAAATGAAGAAACGAAGAGCTTAATGTTAAGAGAAAACGGCGGGAAGAGGAGCAAATGGCGAAGTGAGGAGGCAACGACACAAAATTGCAAATTTGATACTGAGAGCTAAACCCAACAGGTCTGTTGGTAAATGCTTCACACAAACCAATGAGAGATGCCCACGTTGGCATGAGGATCAAGAAAAGTTTCTTGAAGTTGAAGTGGCGGAATAGGAATGGTTTGGTGATTTTGAACGGCTTTCGGCTATTCTTCTTTACCGCTAAATTTGGTTGAAAACTCCCGCGCTTTCTTTTGAAAAAATGTTTCGTGTATGAGTTATGCTGAAGCCCAACAATGGAACGACACAAAAGCCCAATAATATCCAGGACCCCAAACCTCCGTACTGGGTCACGTATGGGCTACACAACAACACACCAAAAGTTTTGACCAATAACAGAAGCCCAAATTTACTTTGTTCTTTAAAGATTTTGATCCCATTTTTTTATTTTTCATTTATTTTAATAAAAGCGATAATTTAAACTACGCTAAATTAATATAATCAAAGGGGAGGGAGATTCAAATTTGGGTACAAGGGGACATGCTCAATGCCTAGCCAACTTGCCTAACCATCGTCTGCCCGAATCCACTTTAATGTTTGAAGTTGTATTTTTTTAATAAATTTACTTTTATAATTGATTCAAGTTTCAGACGCAATTCAAATTGACAAGAGTTTCAACAGTTGGGAACATGTGATTAGATAGATTCATCAAAACACACAAGTTGTATAAGATAGACAACAAACTATCTGAGACTTGTATTATTTATTGAGGATATAATCGCCACATGCTTCCTATCCTTCCTATATATACAGATTGGTT